TTGCAATTGGAAAAAAATCTAGACACAAAGATAAAAAAAAAAAAATTCACTTTTATTGACAATTTCCATGCAAAACATTACAATTTTCATAAAAAACGAAGTCAAACGGACACCAAACTTTCAACATTTTCCATGAAAAATTATATCAATCAAACATAATTAATTACAATTCCCGGTAAAACATTTTCTAGGAAAATCAATTCCCTGTAAAACATTTTCTTTCTACCCATTTTCCACCTTTGCAATCAAACAAACCCTAAAACTTTTTTTCAGCCATACATTCTTTCATAAAATAATTTTACAAGTAATTCCAAAGCTTTTCTTTATTTTTTAACCTCACATTCTTTGAAAAGTCACTATTCCAAAACCTATTTTCCACCAAAAATGGTGCTCAAACCAGGCCTAAATATAGAGAATGTTACTCATTTTAATAATATCGATTTCATAATTTTTTTTATAAGTAATAAATATTTGAAAACATAGATAGAAATAAAATATTAATTACTTTTAAGCTTAGCCAAGCATATTACATCTATTAAAATAAGTCATTTATTTTTAGTCTAACATGAATGAAATAAAATTATTTATTATAAAATTTACTTATTTAATTACAAGTGAACTTTTTAAACTTAGTCAAACATGAATGAAATAAAATATCTAATTTGATAATGAATTATTCACTTTGCATGAATGTGAATTAAATGAATAGATAATTTTTATGGAGTATTTAATTAAATTTGGACAAATGAATATTGGGCTTGGATTGCTATTGAGTTTGACTGGGCTAAAAAGAATTTTTGAAATGGACTTGAGAATGATATATATATAATTCCACGAGGTACTAATTCCTTAACATGTCAGGCTGGTCAAGAATCATTCAGGTCCATTACAAGGTCTTACTACAGAGGGGCTGCAGGGGCACTACTAGTTTATGACATCACAAGGTACTGTTGCTATTTTAATCTTTAAAGATTTTATGCAAAGGTTTTAATTTTATTTAAGTGCTTCAACGTTATTTTCCCAAGTGATGCATGGAATGGCAGAAATGTAGTTGCTCTATATGCAGTTTCTTTATCTATTTGTCATCATTCTCTTTCGTTGAAACAAAGGTTATTGAACTAACTATTTTCCTCTTTGCATAAACTTTGAACTAACTATTTTCCTCGTTGCATAAACTTATCTTATGAGGCTCACATGCCCTATCTTTTTTTAAACCCTTTATAACCCAATGTCTCTTGGAATTTAGGCCTTGTTTGAGCCAACTTTTTATAGAATGAGAATGAAAAATATAGTCGTTATTGGGGCCTACACAAGAGATAGAAAATTTGAATTTAAATGTTGATGTGATGGATAATAGTCATATTTTTCATTTTAATAAGAAAAGAAGGTGGCCAAACGGGGGGCTTAGATGCAGATTTGCAGCATGAAAATTCATTATTTATGTAGCATTTTTTCTTTTAAAAAAAGGGAAGTAAATATGAAGAAGAGTGTAAATTAATATGTTGATCTTTGCAAGCTGGCTTGGTAGTTTTTTCGTTCTTATTTTGTGGAAACTGCTAATTTATGAGACAGAAGCTTATATATTTACAAGTTCCTGCATTACGACGAGGAAGGTAGATTGGTAGACTTCAGGAAAGGGAAATCACTCAACTATCTATGAACTTATTGAGCTTTATAACCGAATTTTGCATCTTTTTGTTTATCGCATTACGACTTTTTAACATGTTATCAACTCCGTTACAGAAAATTTGAATTTATGTTTGTACATTGGCTATTGTTATGTTACTATGCTGATGGAATGATCTTATTGTTAATTCTTCAGGCGGGAAACTTTTAACCACCTTGCAAGTTGGTTGGAGGATGCAAGGCAGCACGCAAATGCTAACATGACCATAATGTTGATAGGAAACAAGTGTGATTTGGCTCATAGACGAGCAGTTAGCACAGAGGAAGGGGAGCAATTTGCAAGGGAACATGGCTTGATCTTTATGGAGGCCTCTGCCAAAACTGCTCAGAATGTTGAGGAGGTGACAAAATTGTTTCCTTCGTAGCTCTTAATTACATAACACACTTGTTATCCCAATGAACTGGGTTCTTAGCATTCTTCCTGAGATTTGTTAAATTCGAATTGCAGGCATTTATAAAAACAGCTTCAACGATCTATAAGAAGATTCAGGATGGAGCCTTTGATGTATCAAACGAGGTGCGTAAATGTTCCGAGTTTACAATATGAGATTAGTTTAAAATGGTTTCATAGTTATGTGGTCAATTCATCTTGTATAAAAATCTTAGTCCTAATAATTTTGAGAGATGTTTAAAGCTGTCTGAGAGAAGTAAAATTTACACATTTTGTATGACCCAAATTATCCATTTCACAGAATCCACAGCTTATAAGCATGTAAAAGCAATACCAAACATGCTATTGTAGAATGTAACATGAGATGACAAGTTCTTCTTCACCAAACTATGTTTTCTTGCCTTTCTGCAGTCTTTTGGAATCAAAGTTGGATATGGCGGAATCCCGGGACCGTCAGCTGGAAATGGAGCTACTTCTCAAGGAGGATCTTGCTGTGGTTGAGTGGGAATTGATTCTATAAACAGATCTTGTGAAGGTTGTTTGTTGTGGTTATATGCATTGGTTTTTAAAGTGTCTTAACTATCTGAATATTATTTCCAATTTGCCTCTTAATTATGAAATGTGTAAAGCAGTAAGGAGATAAATTAAATTTGTTTGTACATCCTGCTTTTATTTTTTTATGACATGCTCAAATTTTCTATTTATCATAATGACATGAGAAAATTAGGTATAAAATATTAACCCTCCACCATTTGGAGGCACTTGAAGGCCTAGATACAAATGGCCTTGCTGAGGCCATGATGGCACTTGGGTGGACAGAGCCTTGCAGCCATGCTGAGAGCAATGACACCTTAGCTACAGTGGGTTAGGGGGACTAGCCCAGTTCTTGGTTTGGCCCAACTGCTGACCTCTAGGTAAGAGAAATGGCACCCTAACAGTAGCTGTGTGAGGCATGTCCATGACATTGTCTGGTTACTATGGTGGACGATGCTAGGATTTAAGGTTAAGGCAAAGGACAATGCAAAACACAAAGTCAATAAAGGCTCGTTTGACATGAATTTTGGAAAGTCGAAAAGGAAATTTTGAGATTAAAGAGTTGCTTTTTAACTATTTGATTTACTTTATGAAAATTTTAAAAAACTGTGAGAAAGATGGTTCAATGTGACTTCCTCTAAAAACATTTTTGGAATAGTAAGCTCTTTTAAAATTTAGTTTTCAAGAAAAAATTAAGGTAACTTTTTCTTAAGTTTTTCTATTGGAAGCAAAACTAAAAGTAAAAATAATACCAAACGGGCCTAAGAAAAAGTATGCATTGGCAAAACATATGGCAAGGAGCTAGAAATGCTTTCACATTGCTGGGTGATGTATTGATCAAAATGGTAAAGGTTAAGAATTCCAATTTAAGATGAAATTAAAAAAATAATCTACACATTGTCGTAAAAGCTTTTTTCATCATATTCTTGCTCTCAAATTAACGTACATTGTTCCTAATAATGATTTTTCTCCAAAATTTTCTTTAAGATGAAATAAAAAGATTCATTTAACCATCGTATTTTTTAAACAAGCAAAAATAATGCAAAAATGCGATTAACTATTTGACTTGTTTTAAAGTAAGTTTACAATATTTTGGATGATAATCATGATTAAGAACAATATTTTCTGATTAATAAAATATTGAAAATAAGAATGTGACGAAAGAAAAAAGTTAAGGATATAAACGTAATAATAAATAAAGGTTAATGACCTTCAATATAATTAAAATGTAGCGCATTTGTAAATAAAAAAAAAGATGGTGCGAATAGAACCACCTTTTTAAATTTCAATATTTTGGGCTTCATATTTATGAAATTAAAGACAAAATTACTTTAACGTGTTATTGCTATTATTCAAAATATTTTCATATGGCAAGGAGCTAGTATGGTTGCACCCTAATAGGGTGTATGTTAAAACCTTGTTAAGATATTGGCTGTCCCGTCGCACTAAAAAGAAAAGATTTGTTCATGCTATTCCAACAATTTCCCTTTGAACGAATTGCCTTAGCAACGTGGTCGTCCTTCAAGAGATAGACTGCAAATCTATCTCTTACGTGGACACAATTGCCTCATGAGCCAACCACGATTTTTTTTGCATACCACGCTCTAATTTAGGGCCTATTACCTTTTCCGTACAATTGGGGATCCGTCTTTGTGCATTTACATGGTTAAGTTTGTGAGCTAGTTCTGATATAAGGGAATGGAACTCATATCTCATAATGTAAACTCATTAGGTGGCCTAACTCATCCATTATAAGTCCATAATTTACCTCACGATGTGAGAATTCGTGTACACAATTTCAACAATTTCCTCATCGACACATGATAACTACATTAAAACTACCTCACTTTAGTGTATACTACCTGTGTTGTCACGTAATC